CAGTGGTTGAGAATCCGCCTGCCAAGGCAGGGGACACAGGTTCAATCCGTGGTCCGGGAAGATCCCACATGCCGCAGAGCAACTAAGCCTGTGTGCCACAACTACTGAGCCTGCGCTCTAGAGCCCGTGAGCCACAACTACTGAAGCCGGCGTGCCTAGAGCCTGTGCTCCGCAACAAGTGATGCCACCGCAATGAGAAGCCCGCACACCACAATGAAGAGTAGCCCCCGCAACCAGAGAAAGACCATGCGCAGCAACAAAGACCCAATGCAGCCAAAAATAAAATAATTAATTAATTTTTTTTTAAGTGCAGACTTCCCTTCATAAGATAAATAAATACTAAGGACATAATGTACAACATGATAAATGTAATTAAAGTTGCTAAGAGAGTAAATCCTAAGAGTTCTCATCACAAGGAAAAAAATTTTTTTTCTATTTCTTTAATTTTGTATCTATATGAGATGATGGATGTCATAATTTCGTGAAGTCAAATCATCACGCTGCACACCTTAAACTTACACAGTGCCGTATGTCAACTGTATCTCAGTAAAGCTGGGGGGAAGTTACTTTCTCTTGACCCGTTGGTCCTGTGCCAGGATAAACCCTGTCCTGTATTATCTTCCCCTTCAGATGGCTGCATCCCCACACCGGCTGATTAGGTTCTCTATAAATTCATTTTACTTGAAAGAATTCTTTCATTTATTCAGCAAGCCTTTCATCTACCTCTTGTTGCCTCAAATTCCATGGAATTTGCTAACATAGCTATCCCGAAACTGTTCTCCGAGATGCCAGTCACTAGGCCTGATTTATAGAGATCAGTGCCACTTCACATCCCCACTGCCACATGCTTTCAGTGTCTCATTTATTTGGTCTTCCTTCTTGGTCTCAGACAATTCGATCCTCTTCCTGCATGAACGACACCCTTTCAGAGGGGCTTATTCTCATCCCTCCCCACCTCCAAGACCTTTCCTCATCAATTACCATCCCCCCCAAGCCAGGTACCAACAACTATAATCTCTCCCTATTTACCTCCAGTCTGTCCTCTGCCTACTAATCTGCAAACTCATCTTCGATTCCCATCTCGCTACTCATTTCCAAGCTATCATCTTTTCTCTTCCTTTTGTGACTCACTTTCTTCAAAGGGCTGCTCCACACTTAATACCGCAGCTTCTTACCACCAAGAGTGATCAGAGAAGGCCTCTCTGAGGACACATCGAAGCTAAAGGTCAACAAGGAGCAAGAGGCCAGCACGTGGAAAGGACAGGCAGCCAAGGCCCTGTTATGAATGAAGAAAAGGCTGCCTGCCTTGCTACTCTTGGTGCCTCATGGCTGAGGCCCTTCTCAGGCAACATTTACTGTAAAGCACCCCTCACTGCCTCCCTGAGTCTTACTCTCACTTCTATTTCCATCTCCAACGTGTTGTATTAGAAACAATTCTTTGTGTTAGCACTTCGATCTTCAATCGCTCCCTAGTAAGGTATAAACAAAATAACCAGTTGAGTCCTCAAAGCTTTCCCCTAAGAGAATGAGCACCACCTGTCTGAAATCTGCACCTGAAGCACCCTCCATCTCAGATGATGTGCATGATGGCTGTGACTGTGTGTACCCATCAAGCCTACTGAAATTCAAGTTCCCTGAGGAGAAGGTCCTGGCCAGGTCATTTTAACTGTACCTGTAATGAAGTATTTGCATGTAGTAAGTGTTTAACTCATTGAAAAATATCCAATCCTGCTATGATTCCCCATTTATATTATGAGTTAAGTACTATAAACCCACTCAGGCTTGGTAATCATACTTGATTTTAACACTGAAAATTGTGAAACAAAAATTTTGGGAAAAAATGCCTACTTCAAAACAGGTCAGCTGAATTAAACATTCAAATATAAAACAAAACAATGAAATTATATAAGTACTAGAATAAAATATAAGATATATGTTTTTATAACTCTGGTAAGGTAAAGACTTTTGTAAGCCAATCAAGTGAAAGTCTGACAGATATGACAGGATAAAAATGAAAACATTCCCATGATGATGAAATAAAATGATATAAAAGCAAACCAAAAAAACACTGTAAACAACTTACACACACTCACAAAGAAAATGGGAAAACAATATATGCAGTGTATACCACAAAAGGCTAATCATCTTAATACACACAACACTAGTGTGACAGTCATCAACATAAGGACAGGAACAGGCAAAGAAACATAACGGGAAGTATACACACCAGGTGAAGATCAAACCCACTTGTAATTTGAAATACTATGTTTAGTCCATCAGTTTAGCAGAGATGTAAGTGTTGATGAAATTGTACTCTCTCAGTACCTTATTGGTTTTCTAATGGGCAAATTGCCAATCCATGTATCAAAAGTCATTCATGCCATCTGACTCTAAAAAGCTACTCCTAAGAAGTTATTCTTAAAAAGTAACTGAACAAGTAGATAGAAATACGATGATCTTTATTATTTTTAAAATAATAAAGATTATTTTAAAAATAATCTTATTAAAAATAACTTTAATAAAATTATTTTAAAATAATCTTAATTTTTAAAAAAATACTTGTGGAAACTGGACATTGAAATGCCCATCAGTGAATGCGTTGAGGAAGTGTGCACACACACTGAAATGCTATGCAGCCATGTGGGTAAATACTAAAGTGTTCAGAGTTTATCTCTAGGAAGGTGTTTTCGCCCATTCGCTTCATAATGCTCTTTTAGTATGTTCAGAATTTTTGTAAAAACTACACATGTTCACTATGTTATAAACAATCTTTTACTATCTTCTCTTCACCTACTGTTAAACAAAATTAAGCATATTTATGGTAGTTATATTATCAAAGGAGTTCTAACATTTTAATTCAACGGAAAAGAAATTTATTGAGCCTAATGCCCAAGGGGTCTTAGTTTATGGAAAGATATAAACTTAGAACCATCAAAATATAAGAGCCCAGGGCCGGGGAGAGAAGGAGCTGGCTACTCACAACTGGGGGGAAAAAAAAAACATATATAGTGACCTGAGGTTCTGGTTATGGCAGGAGATGAGTTAAGAAAGACATCCTACAACGAAAGGCCACATTTTAAGACACTACCGTTTTATTCTCAATGATGAAAACTTAGCGTATGTTGATGACGTAACCCACTCTCTTCAGACGCAGGAATGAACAGCTACCCTCTGCTGACTGAACACGCTTCCACCCAACCCTCCTACAGCTTCTCCCTTAAGAGCAAACTACTTGCCCAACCTTCCTGAGTTCCACCTTTCCAAATGATGTAGCGAAGCACAGTGAGAGGAAAACTCATCCTTCTTACATGTGCTATTTCAAATACATAACAGGTTTTGGACTGTTTCTTACAAAATCATTTCTATGGTTAGAAAAGTCTGAAGTGTAGGAGTACAACTTTCTTGATTGTATTATTGATGTGGGGCATGTGTACTAAACATTTTGCATGGAAAAACACAACAGTTCAATATTCCAAAGAATGAAGCTGGAACTACGGGTGAAGCCGACAACCTCAGACACAGGGAGAAAAATCCAATTTACCTAAGGTGCTCACCTTGGAATATGCAGTGACTCATCTGAAGAACACTTATTCAATTTATAAAAACCAACAAATATAAAAATTAGCAATTTGCTTCTGTAAATGCTACAATCTCATGTTGTAAAAACTGTTTAAAAATTGTACCATCAACTAGCCAGTCTGTACACAAACTGCAATTTAAAACAACACTAGAGTTCCAGATGTAAAAATACGGTTACAACAAAAAGCTGTGAAAACACATGCACAGTAGAAGATGCCTGTCATCTGGAATGCAGTAACTAAACTCTGGGTCTACTGCCACAAGAGAAAACTCACTTAACCAGCAAGGACACTGGTGCGGAGATGAGCCATATGGCACAGCAGCCTACACAAGGTGAGAGGGCCTCCAACTGTGGGTATACAGTCTCAGGAAATACCCCTTCTGGCTCTCACCATAGCTCCCAGAGGGCAAAACACCATGCAGGCCTCCTCACTCCAGCCCTCTCCTTTCTGTTGGGTCCACTGTGGCTCTGACTGTCTGCTGCAAAGTAGAAAGGTTCTCGGACAAGGCAGGACAAACCATGTAGCCGCCAGCCTCTTCCTCCTACTCTACACACCTGAGCTAACGCCTCAAGCAGTACCTTAATTAGGCCTTTCAGAGCCTAGATAAGGCAGAAACAGGGGCAGCAAAGTGGTTAATGTGCTCCTCTATGCATTGATAGATATTTTTTTTTTTTTTTTTTTTGGCCTCGTGGCATGTGGGATCCTAGTTCCCCGACCAGGTATCAAACCTGTGATCCCTGCAGTGGAAGCACAGAGTACTAATCGCTGGACCACCAGGGAAGTCCCTATGTAGATATAATTTTACGTAGGACTTTAACGTTAAATCCATTCTCTGCTACATGTGCCTAGTTTAAAATGAAACAGAAGAGTCTAGCAATACACTAAAAAACATTATGAACCCTGAACAACTCTATAAAACAAAAAAAACGAAAAAAAACAAAACACACAGAACCACCAAAAAAATAAACCCTTACCACTCTCTCTTTCCTCAAACTATATCACAGTAACAAAGTAGCAACAATATATGTGTTCAAGGGACAACATAAAATTTGTCCACTGAACAAAACCTATAACAGAAAATACTTTAAACTGATTATACGCCAAGATTCAGTCTAATTTAAGTATTTTTTTAAAGAGGAAGCATTAAGCCATAAAGAGGTAACCATTCAACCAGGAGCTGCTTCCTTTCTTTTTCAATCAAAAAAAAATCCTGGTATCTGAGCTTTGAGAAAATACACACCAGTAACAAAACATACCACCGGTATTAGAATAAAGAGACATTCTTACTTGTAAACAACTAACTTCAGAACTACTGTTCCAGATTTTATTTTCTTAAATGGGAAGAATGAATTCAAACACCAAAAATATACCAACAGTAAAGTTGGTATCTTTATAAAATTAAAGGTAAAAAACACTTACAATTTTTGCATTTTTTCCACTTTTCCTTAGTTGCTGAACAGCAAAAGCATGTTCAACATTATCCATTGAAACACCATTAACCATCGCGACTCGGTCATTTTCCCTAATGAAAAAAAGAGACCAAAATAATAACATGTTAGACGAAACCATACAAATAAGTTTATAAAGATATTTTTAAGATAGGATCTTTAAAAAAGATATTCTAATTATGGGCTAATTAACCTGTCTTCAGATCAATGATAAAATAATGTCCAGCTATTTAATTTCAAATCCCCCACAAAAAATGTTTAGCACTTGTAACTAACCACAGGTCATTAATTTTTTAACTATTAACACAATGTTTCCCAAAAGGACTGAACAGGTACCACAATACACAAAATGACTTCTGGTGGTACACTTACAGGCATTCAATGATACTAAGTCATAAGGCTGGAAAAAGTTATTCCTTCTTTAAAGATAAAGTCTTTCTCCTTCCAATTTTCTTTCAGTCCTCTACTCATACTCTCATTTTTTTGCTAGTGTATCTTTTGCCTCTCTTTTATCTTGCTAATCTTGTTGAACAAAAACGCTGAGACTCAGGGTGAGAGGCTCCTGAAGGCTAGATTCTACCCTAAACTGAGTAACAAGTTTTCTTTTCACTATCTTTATTTTTTACAGTGACCTTCTATTTAAGTTAAGTGATACTAGCTTTCCATATATAACAGAGATAAGCATAACTATATTAATTTAGAAAAATCACTAGCATGGCATGCCAATGGCTGAGGGTAGGAAACATGCTTACTGCAGCTGCCCTTCTGCGGGTCCTCCTTTAAGCACATCTGAAATCACTATCGAGGTTTCCCCACTCTGGAAATGAGGATTATCTCTTCCACCAGATATTGCAATTCCAAATCCAAATCCAGGAGCCTAAAGTAATAATTATAGTAAAATGTTATGACGTCATACTCTACAATCTAAAAAAGTTCAAATATAAAAATTATAATCCTATTACAAAATGCTAACTCACTTATATGGAAACACATCAGAATGACCTATCCTGGTATGGGAATGCAGGCTTTAATAAATTTAGTGCTGGGCATAACAGAATATCGAAAACTGTCAATTACATGAATGTTCTTTAAGAACTAAAACACATTTAAAAATTCTGAACACTGAAATCCTGAATTCATTTTTGCTTATCAGAAGCGTTCCTGAGGGAATTGGCAGTGCCCCCGCCTGTGATCATCACAAACACTGGCAACTGATTTGTAGAATGACAGATTTAATGAGCATATAAACCGGGTGCCATTTTATATAATAAAATATCAACAGCTGTGAAAATCAACTTGCTTCACTTACCCTAAAAATCTCTACTGAAGTAATACACTATAATGTCTTATGCACACTGCATACAATAGAAAGTATACATTAATCATATCAAGCATTTTTAATTACTTATATTGTTAATTAAACAAAACCATAATTAATTATATACTTCTAAATGAGCTGAAAATCTTTACCACGGTGACTAAGGACAGCCCAGCACAGAAAAGAATCAAAATACTACCAAGTTATTTAAAAATTACCTAATCTCGCTTTTTTCACGAAGATGGCGCCAAAGGTGAAGAAGGAGGCCCCTGCCCCTCCCAAAGCCGAAGCCAAAGCAAAGGCTTTGAAGGCCAAGAAAGCAGTGCTGAAAGGCGTACACAGCCACAAAAAAAAAGATCTGGACGTCACCCACCTTCCGATGGCCCAAAACACTGCGGCTCAGGAGGCAGCCCACATATCCTC